CTCCCCTTTAGACACATTGCTGTGTTCTGCTGGTTAGGTGTCCCCCACCCCCCACAAGCATTTACCTTTGGGACAGAATACTAATAGCCTTGGCCAGTGATATCCTGTCATTTCCCACCAATACATTAGCCAGTAAATTCTTAAAAACTCCTACGTTCAAAATACCCCTTAAGCCTTCCCACTCTAATTCAATGGGAGCTAAAGACACCATGGTTCTAAACTGCCCCAAGGCCAGGAGTTTTACCTCTTTCCTGGGAGCATATCCACTTCCTTAATGACGTACCTCCTGAGTAGAGGAGGTATGTGATTATGTCTCTCCTCTCCGGCACATTTGGCCATTTACCTTGGCCTCCTTCATACACTCTTTATCTACCTCCAGAAGGTCAGACTGCACAAAATTTAACTAGAACCCCCTTTGGCATCACTGAAGGCTCTGAACTGAGGGTAGCTGCGTTAACTTGGATAGATCAGGCATTGTATTTGGACTCCCCATTGTTTGTGCCTGTGTTGTAGGGACCCACATCAGAGAAAATACTTTGGGCTGTTCCCTCAGGCTGGGATCTGATAATTAGGGACTTTCGTGTGCTTATTCCCCTCCCCTTCTTCATTCTTCCCAGGAACAAACAAGGGTCTCCCTTTTACCCCAGGCTTTTGTCCTTCCTTTTGGGCCTTGTGCCCTAGGAATGGTCTCGCTTGCAGGTATAAGTCAGCAGCACTGGCTGCCTCTTCCGCAGTTGCTGGGGAAATTTCCCACACCTCTGCCCCCACTTAATCAGAGCAGACCGCAAAGAACCGCACCTGAGCAAGCCGATCTACCAACCGGTGATCATTTTCTCCCCTTTTACTTTTCATCCATTTTCTCCGATAATCTCCCATTTTATGACCATATTTCCTGTTATCCAGTTGTTAGGTTTCTACACTTTAGGTGATATATCTATGGGGTAAATTGAAAGCTTTCTAACATCGACCCCTTAAACCAATCATACAACATAGCATTATTTACATTCATATAATTAAACCAGTTGTTCTGAACACCACTGTGGGTCACACATGCAGCTCTCTGTGTTATGTGGGCGGCATCCACACTATATACTCCCTGTGTGGCCTGAGGATGTCACATGGGCTGCAGCTGTGTCTTCATTGGGCTGCAAGTGGCCCACATGCTGCAGGTTGAGAATGACTGGATTAAATATGTGTAAGGCTTTGCCAGTCAATTTGGGAGGTAAGAAGGCCAAGTCTGTTCAGCAGGGATTTTGTACATCCTGCCTATCCTTTCAAACGTGGTCATATTCTTCAATGGACTCTCTCCCACTGTGACTCAGGCAGTTTCCCCCAGCTGGGTGATCCCTAGGGAGGATTACTTGTGGGCTGAGGGTTCTGTTTGTGTAATTCCAGTTTTTTAAACTTGTGGGGCCTTTCCTTCTCCCTTCCTTTAACTTCTGTGACCTGCTTTCGCTCCTCTGCTTTCCTCTTTTTTGGCTTTCTCTGCTGCTTCCAGTTTATGATCTCCCTCTTGGCCAGTTCTAACTGGAGGGCTGCCCCTCTGGGACCTGTGCCAGGCTGGTTTCCTAAGCCTGCACCTCCCACTCAACTTCACGTAATTTTGATGGATGAATCAGTTCTCCATGATGCTTATCATATTGCATGAACAGAGATTTTTATCCCCTCTACTATTTTCCCTAAAGCCTCCAAGCCATGATCTGTACAGTTTTTCCAAGTGTGATTTGGTATGTTTGGCATGTCTCTGGCTTACTCAACCTGTCCTTTATGTTCTATTTCCCTTACCCAAAATAAAGCAATGGAAAACAACACACCATAACCTTTTTCTTTACTTGTTTCTAAGCCTCTCACTTTTGACTCTCTCAGTGTATATATACTATCTGGTATGTCAATGCTTGGCGCATGATCCTTGGTTAATCAGCAAACAGGGTGTAGAGTGTGCTGTTTACACCATTAGGATGCTACGAGGGGGTTCCAGGGTTGTGAGATACCTCACAACCACCTGCCCTTTGTGTGAGGAAGCCTTGTCTGTGCCTGCTGGGGATCACTACTCTACTGGCCATGGACAACACAAGCCCTCCCCTCTGGACCTCGCAGACCCTGCTGTTACTCTGCAGGCTAGCTATTGGCACACTCAAGCCCTCTGAGTGTCTCCCTGGAGTCACCAACTCCTGCTCCCCTGGACACTCGCAGTATTCACAGATTTGCTGCTTCCAAAGAAGCAGTATAGCCCGGCTTACCAAATCCTCCTGAGGATCCCCGCTCTGCTTAATACACAGCACTGAGATAGGTTTATAATGAGATCAAGTATAAGTTTATTTAACAAACCATAGTAGCAAGTACAAGTATTGGAAACAAATGGTGACATATAAAATAAAATCATAACACACATTCCAGAGCCTAGACTTAATTAACAAGATACTGTCATGTCTGGTAGAGTATTACTCACCCAAAATCCTTGCAGAGCTTTTCAGCCAGGCTGGCTGTGACCCTCCTTTCATAAGACAGCCTGCTGTCAGTCTGCCTGCTAGATCAGTGGTTCTCAACCAGGAGTCCGGGGGCCGTGAGCAGGTTTCAGGGGGGTCTGCCAAAATAAACCAGAGAGCAGGGCCGGCTTTAGACTTGCTGGGGCCAAGGGCAAAAAGCTGAAGCCTGAGCTCTGCCGAGGGCTGCAAGCCGAAGCCAGAACAACTTAACTTCACAGGGCCCCTGGGCAGTTGCCCTGCTTGCTACCCCCTAACGCCAGCCCTGGCTTTTAATCTACTGGCTGTGCAGAAAAGCAGCTGTTGCGGCACAGGTGGGCTGTGGAATTTTTTTTAGCATGTTGGGGGGAGGGGGGCTCAGAAAGAAAAAGGTTGAGAACCCCGGTGCTAGATGAAGGGTTCAGTGTTTCTTTGCACCCTAAGGGTATGTCTACACTTGCAGAGGTTTTGCGCCGTCAGTTTCACCGGTGACAGGGAACCTGTGAAAGAAAAGTGCTGGTTTGTGTTCTCACTTACTTCCACGGGCGCCAGAGAGTGGTTACATTAGCAGCACTTCCATCACTGATGAGAGCAGCGCTTGAGGGAAGGTATCCCACAGTGCAGCTCTCTCCAGTTTGACGATGGGCCTTATGGGAAGGGGTGGGAGTCAATCGCAGGGCATCCTGGGTCCTTGCACAGCCTCCTCTCCCCAAACACTGATCAGCTCGAGTAGCTCAGCATTGCTCCAAGCAGGGGTCGTTTGCTTTGTGGAGCAGGCATTTCACTTGGCCAGATAAGTGAGCACTTGCCAAGAAATCAGGAAGGGGAGTTTTAAAGTTCCCTGGGCTTTACAGAGGGAGGGGTGGATGTCTGTTTACCTGGTGTCAGAGCAGCAGAGCTGCTGGCCAGAGTGGTCACCTAGGCACTGTGGGATATGCTCCGGAGGCTAAAGCTCTGTAAACAGGAAGAATATGTCTTCACCTGCACATCACAGCAAAAGCATCACCAGTAAGAGCTGTACGCTTCTCGTGGAGGTGGTTTACTTTTTGCGGTGAAACTTCTGAGTTTTGCTGCAAAAAGTCATTGGCAAGTGTAGACGCTCCCATGGTTTTTGTGCAAAAAAGGGACTTTTTCCGCTTTAAATGGCAAGTGTAGACATGCCCTCCGATATCCCAGAAAAATCCTTTGTGTTTATTCATAAACAGGACATCCCCCTGCTCTCTGTTACACCATGCAGAGATTTTCTCTCTTGTAGGTTTCACAATCTTTCAATGTGTACTTGGCTCAGTATGCAAATAGGCAAACAGTATACAAATGGCTAGACAGGGAGATAGGTGGGTGTTATCTCCTACCTGAAAGGAACATTGCCAAGGTATATCACCTTCTGGTGACCTGCCTTAACTCCAAGACCTTCATAGCATAATTTTCAGTGTAGATACATAGCTTCTTCAAAATCTGTTCATACGTTTTGTAATGATTATGATGGCTAGTGGGCTACTGGCTTTCAGTAGAGACCTCATATGCTACCCTTTAGTGTGAATTATTATGCAGCTACCTGACCCAGGAAATCCCTGTAAAAAGCCTATACTCCTTTGCCCCATGCCCTCGGCCAGTTGGCATCAAGGAGTCCCTGGGTAACAGGCTGATTACCAGGAAAGCTGCTTAAGAGCTTCTGCCACCTGGACCCTAAGGAGAGGTAGAGGGACCATCTCAACTTTGTACCATTCCTTGCATATATACTCACACCCTTCCTTGGGAAGCTGGCGCAACGGTCCTGCTCTGTCTCTGGCATGCCAAAGAAGTCTGATGGTCCAGATCCCCTTTTACACGGTGTTCTGGCCTGTTACAGGGCCTGGGGGCTGTCATGAATATTCACACACATGCCCAGCCTCCCTTGTCCATATCTAACTTCTTCACCCTAATTATGTTGGGGTGTCCTTATCCTATAGATTAGTATAGTCATGGTTTCAACTAATTGTTAAATACATCAACTTATTGCCAAGGCCAGTCTGCAGTTAAGCATTTGCCAACATTTTATCCTAAAATATCCAAACCTAGTATCAGTTCAGTGTTCCTGTGATTACCTGGTATTCCGTTGTACGAACTCTCTGCTTTAAGCACACTATTCCCAGTTCCCCAAGCCTCAGGGTCACTGTTGGGCCATTTATCTATAACAAAGTTCATGGGACTCAAAGCCTTATTATGGTAACTGGGTAAGCTAATGTCTTACAGGATACAGGCCTGTACGTTCCTTGAATTACTGTTAAGTAAAATAAAATGCTAAAGCTAGCTCAATAGGCTACAGCTGTGGGTCGTCAAAGACGGTTGTGTTCCAGTCTGACCTTTCTTTCCTTGAGCACATCTGTCTCTTTTGTCTTATGCTTGGACTGGAAGCTTTGGGGAGCAGGGGCCATCTTTTAGTTCTGTGTTTGTACATCACCTACCACAATGGGGTCCTGACCCAGGACCAGGTCCTAGGCTGTACTACAGTGCAAGAAACAAATAATAAGTCTTGTCTCTTTTATCCTATTTACGCAGCTTCCAGCTCCAGTGGTGAAGCGATTGATCATGGTGAAAAAGATCATGCCCCGAAAACAGCAGGTCTGTGAATCAAACCTTCCTGTAGCTGTTGTTTGTGTATGCATGCAAACTGAAATCTGTTTTGATTATACTCCCCAACTCCAAACCAGCCACAGACCAAGCATCGCTTTCCAGCCTGTAGGAGAAGTATAAGAATAAAGAATTAAAGTTAGGATGTTTGGTTAAGGATATATGTGTGTGTGTATATATATAAAAAGAAAAGGAGTACTTGTGGCACCTTAGAGACTAACCAATTTATTTGAGCATGAGCTTTCGTGAGCTACAGCTCACTTCATCGGATGCATACCGTGGAAACTGCAGCAGACTTTATATACACACAGAGAATATGAAACAATACCTCCTCCCACCCCACTGTCCTGCTGGTAATAGCTTATCTAAAGTGATCATCAGGTTGGGCCATTTCCAGCACAAATCCAGGTGATCTCTTTAGATAAGCTATTACCAGCAGGACAGTGGGGTGGGAGGAGGTATTGTTTCATATTCTCTGTGTGTATATAAAGTCTGCTGCAGTTTCCACGGTATGCATCCGATGAAGTGAGCTGTAGCTCACGAAAGCTCATGCTCAAATAAATTGGTTAGTCTCTAAGGTGCCACAAGTACTCCTTTTCTTTTTGCGAATACAGACTAACACGGCTGTTACTCTGAAACCTGTATATATATAGTGTGTGTTCGTGTGTTGTAAAGAAGGCCCCATCAGCAAGTAACAGAGGCCATGAGAATAATTAGTATTACATGTAGTGTGGGAAGGTTGTATGGTTTCAAAAGTAAAACTAATAAAATAAAGAGCTGCAGTAACAAGACAAAGAAAAACTGTCTTAAAAGAAACACGCCCAAACCTTCCCACCGTTCTGCTAGTAAGCAAAGGAGGAGGTGGGGAGAGAAGATAAGAAAGAAAAGGCTTTGGGAAGAAAGGAGGCTGTAAATCTTATCTGGATTAAGACTTGGAAAAAGGGTAAATAGTTTCACACTGATTTTTAGCTGAAGTTAGTAATTGGCAGTGACATCGCTTGTTTGATAAAGGGTATAAAAAGTAAACTTTTAAAGGGTTCACTGCTAATACCTGCCTGACCACCGCTGGAACCGATCAATATTGGTCTAAGCATCCCCCGGGTTTAGCTCATTTGTAAGTATCTTGATCAAAAGTCCATAAATGTTTTGTTACTGTTTGGATGCAGTACATTGCTTACTAGCTAGACTTTTTAGGCACGTTTAGAGCAACTGTATAAATATAATTTGGCCTTGGGATTTAATAAAGAAATTTAGTGTTTGGTGGTTTCCCATATCAATTAGTGTTTAAATTAAATTAAAATTAGTGTTTGATGGTTTCCCATATCAATATTAATAATTCCAACACAGCCCATTGAGAAAGGAAAGGCAAATCTCATTTTGTTTCTCTTTCCAGCTCTGGAAAGGAGTGCTGTCTAGCATTTAGAGCAGAGTGGGCGGGGTGGCAAGACACCGACTATTAGTTCTGGCTCTGCAGCTGGTTTTCTGTATCATATGTTACAGGAAAGAGAACTTAAATGACTTGGGCAGGATCATGCAAGGCTGTGAGTAGGACCCAGGAGTCCTGGCTTCCAGAGTCCACTGCTCTAACCTGCTAATCACTGTTCTTCTCCCAGAGCTGGGATAGAAATCCAGGAGTCCAGGCCCCCAGCCCTTTTTCTGTACTCGTTAGACACACTGCCTTCCAGAACTGAAAAGAGAACCCAGAAAGCCTCATTTCCGGTCCACTGCTCTGACCATTAGACAACACCCAGCCCCACCCATTATGAAGCTGAGATGTTTGCATCTGACTTGGAATGAATTGCATCTTTATTCATTTAATGTATGGACTTAAAAAAGCAGACTTCAGCAAACTCGGAACTGGTAGGTAGGTTCTGCCATGGATCCACAGCTACACCTCAGCTTTAAAACAGTCTCTTGGAAAGCCCCCCATTAGCATGGCAGATCCCCAAGGAGTCCCACTCCTTTCTTCAGGGTAGGCCATGCTGCCTCCTAGACTGAGTGTCTGGGCTCCAGCACTTCTGCTCTACATTGTGAGCTGTGCCCAGCAAGTCCAACTGAAATAGTCTTCTGGTAGAGACTTGTACACTCTTTAGGGACTAGTGCACCTCGGCAGATATTTATTGTAGGTAGGTAACAGCCAAACCTGGATTTGTCTAGAACAAGTCATGCCAAACCAAAGGAATATCCTTTGACAAGATAATGGGCCTAGTGGATAGGGGCGAAGCAACAGACATGATATGTTTGGATTTTAATAAGACTTTTGATACAGTCCTATGTGACGTTCTCATAAACAAATGAGGGAAATCTGAAATTAGGATAAGTTGGGTGCAAAACTGGTTGAAAGATTGTGTCCAGTTTTTGTTCTCAAAGAGTAGTCACGAATGGTTTGCTGTCAAACTGGGAGGGCATATCTAATGGGGTCCTGCAGGGATCTCTCCTGGGTCAGGTACTCTTCCATACTTTACTAATGACTCAGATAATGGAGTGGAGAGTAGGCTTATAAAATTTGTGCATGACACCAAACTAGGAGGGAGAGCACTTTGGAGGACAGGATTAGAATTCAAAATGGCCCTGATAAGTTGCAGTTGTCTTTACTGAATTTCATCTTGTTGATTTCAGAGCAAAGTACTACACTTAGCAAGGAAAAAAATCAAATGCACAAATATAGAATGGGGATTAACTGGTTAGGTGGTAGTACAGTACTACAGAAAAGGATCTGGGGGTTCTAGTGGATCACAAATTCAATATAAGCCAATAGCGTAGTGCACTTGCAAAAGAGGCTAATACTGTATCATTCTGGGGTGTATCCACAGGAGTGTTTGGGAGGTAACTGGCTTACTCTGCTTGGCAGTGGTGAGGTCTTAGGTGGAATATTGTGTCCAGTTCTGGCTGCCAAGCTTTAAAAAAGATGCGGACACATTGGAGAGAGTCCAGTGGAGAGGAACAAAAATGATAAAACCTGACCTATGAGGAAAGGCTAAAAACCGGGCCAGGTTTAGTCTTGAGAAAAGACTGAGGGGGACCTGACAGCAATATTCAAATATATTAAGGGCTGTTATAAAGAGGCCAGTGATCAACTGTTCTCCACATCCACTGAAAGCAGGACAAGAAGTAATCAGCTTAATGTGCAGCAAAGGAGATTCAGGTTAGATACTAAGAAAAATTTGCTAACCCTAAGGACAGTTAAGTAATGGAATAAGTTACCCAGGGAGGTTGTGGAACCCTTGTCATTGGAGGTTTTTAAAAACAGGTTAGGCAAGCACCTCTCAGGAATGTTTACTTGGTTTACTAGGTCCTGTCTCAGCGCTGGTGGATGGACTAGATGACAGATCCCTTCCAACGCTACATTTCTTAGTGTATATTGTACTGCTACTTGTCTGGAGAAGTTATGAATGGCACAGCTACTGTGTGAGCACCAGTTTAGACTTAAAATATTCCTATTCTGACTGCCACGTCCCAAAAAGAGATTCTCAACTGTTATAATACATGAAAAATCAGGAATTCGGAAAACTGTGATAATGTGGCTGTGGATTTTGAAAGCTATTTTCTAATCTATGTAGCCCACTTTATAGATCTTAAAGCCAGAGGGACCATTAGATCACCTAGATCATTATGCAGGCCAGAGAATTTCACCCAGTTACCACTGCATTGAGCCCAATAACTTGTTTGACTAAAGCATCTTCCAGAAAAGACATCAAGGGATGGAGAATCCACCACTTCCCTTCAGAGTTTGTTCCAGTTAATCACCTTCTATTTGAAAAAAGAATAAGGGGAGGGGGGTGGCTCATTTCTAATTGGATTGTGTCTGGCTTTAACTTCCAGCCATTGGTTCTTATTCTGCCTTTCTCCTCTAGGCTGCTAAAGAACCCTGTAGTACCTGGGATTTTTTTCCTGGTGAAGGTATTTATATGCCGTAATTGAGTCACCTCTTGTTCTTCTTCAAGAAGCATCCCTATAGGTGCTCCATGTCCAGATATGTACACGCCCATGCGCTCTTCACTGGAGATTTTTGTCAACAGTGCCCGTGGGACGGCACCCCAGACACCCTCGTGCCCATTACAAGAGTATATGGGGGAGATGGACCTGCTGCCACTCCAGTTCCTTCTCCTCCGTCTGTGGCTTGGGATGGAGCATCACGGTGTCTGGTAGCTGAACTACGTGTCTCGCTGCACTTCACTTTCTTATACCATTTTCCTTTTAGTTTTTTTCTTAGTTATTTATTTTTATTCTATTAGCTCCAGCTTGTGGTTTGAGGGGTGTCCACTCGCCGCATTTTGCCCATTTTGGGCCCTCAGGTTTTTTTTCCCCTGGGCCTCATCCATGGCCTTGACTGTGGATTATGCCCAAGACATTGGGCTTTGAATCTTGCCAGACCTGCCACAGGTCCTTCCCCCACAGCGACAGACAATCAAGCTGCTTCCACTGCTTGGGATAAACCCACGTTCCCTTTACATGTGAAATCTGTTTAGGATTTAAAAGCAGATCTAAATAATTGAGGGAGTACAGACAAACTCCTACTTATGGAGTGCTCTCTGAGACTTGTGGGGGGCGAGTCACTCCCCATACCTCAGTTCCACCCACCACCTTCACCTCAGTGGTAAGCAAAGACCCTGGACACTTTGGGGTACTCCCCAGGTCCTCCAAGAAGAGAAGACCCCATTTGCCAGACAAGGAAAGGGGAAAGTCACCTCCTCAGTCTGTGTCTCAGGAGACCTCATGTCCCAGTACGGGTACTGCTGAGGCTCCTATTCCCTCCAGTACCGCAACCTTGTTACCAACTAAGCCGACCACGTCACATACTGAGAGGCCATCTACAGCAGCACCAGCATTGCCACCCGACTCAGTGCCTCCAAAAGCCTGAACCAAGGCAAAGTCCTCGTCGGTACCATCTTCCATAGCCAGAAGCAAAAAGTGTACTGTACCTATTTTGGTGCAGTCTCTGGTACCGCCCAGTGTTCTTACTCCTGAGGAACCACATCTGCAGACCCCAGTACCATCCAGGCTCCTATGTTATGAGGACCTCTGAATCCTCAAAGAGCCCAAATCACTGTTATTAAGAGGTACTGAGAGATACTCCCCACTGTTACTTACCCTCCGTCCATTTCTTCAATGGTGACTCACTCTCTGGTACCGACACTTTCCCTGTGCAATCTTTGAGGGCTCCGAGAAATATTTTCAGCTGGTACCGTTATAACATTCTCCGGCACCACCTCACCAGCCTCCCTTTCTAGCCACAGTACTGACACAAGTTCAGGTCTCTTCCCAGGGCCTAGTACTGCCCTGACCACCAGTACCCACACCCCTGACCACCCCCCAATGGATATAGAGGATGACGCCTCATCTGACTCAAAAGTGTCTGTATATGATTTCTCCACCTTTCCCTCCTTAGAGATTCACGCTGAAGAAGGAGCTCATAGCAGGAAGTACACCCAGTTACCATGGCAAGGACAACCTTGGAGTCCCACCACAGTGGGCTTACCGGAATCCTTAGGTGACCCTTTCTAAAGGGTCCCATCCCAAAAGAGGTCACATCAGGATCATCATTACTTCAGCATGGATGGTGTGGCAAACTGAAGCCACTGTCCCACTTATGTGTAAACAAGCTGACAAAAAGTATCACATCCTCCTCCCCGCAGAACTGAGTGTTTTTTTCTCCCACCTGATTCCCAGTTCTCTGGTGGTGGAGGATGCTAACAAACAGACCAGGCAACATCAGTTCTGTTCCACAACGACTGATAAGGATCTAAAAAGGACTGGAGCTTCTGGACCCTAAGAAGCACTCCTCAGCCTTCTGGCAGTTCAGAGTGGCCAATTATCAAGTCCTGGTGGCTAAATATGACTTGACTGTCTATTCAAAAATTTCAACATTTAATGAACACTTGCCTCAGGAGCACAGAGAACAATTTCAGGTCCTCTTTGCAGAAGGTCGGACAGTTGCTAAGACATCTCACCGAGCCTCGCTAGATACTACTGACACAGCTGTACGTTCCCTGACTACAGCAGTAGTCATAAGCCCAGCTTCCTAGCTACGGTCTTCCAGCCATCTCCAGGAGGTACAAAATACTGTAAAGGACCTTCCTTTTGTTTGTTAGTGACCTCAGTTTGTTTAGTGATGCCACAGATGGGTCCCTCCATTCTCTCAAGGGCTCCTGGGCGACACTAAAATCTCTGGGCATCTCTATGTACACCTGCAATGAAAAGAAAATACAGCCGGTCACAGGTGGCTCAATGATCTCGCCCAGTCCACTACCAGGAGACCTCCCTGGAAGAAGCACAAATTCCCATGAGGCCTCCCTGGAAGAAGCACAAATTCCCTAAGAAAGGGCCTTCTCCATCAGCAACGTCCCAGCCAGCAATGACTTCAAAATGTCCATTGTGACCAGTTGGGTGAGGGTCACAAACTACTTCCCACTCCAGATCCTATGTTGCATCTATTCCCCTCCATTTCCTACCTTCCTGGGAGCTCATCATCTTGGACAGATGGATCCTAGAAGTAATTTCCATAATCTATTCCATCCAGTTGAGCTCTTTCCCACTCCCTGTCCCTCTTCAGGGACCCCTTTACCTCCCTCCACAAAGACCTCGTAAGGCAAGAGGTACAGTCCCTCCTAGTTTTGGGGATGATCTAACCTGTCCCACTGGCCTTCATTGGGAAAGGGCTCTAGTCTCAGTACTTCCTCGTCCTGAAGAAAAATGGGGGTGGGTGGGTAGGTGGGTGGAGGAGACCAATTCTAGACCTCAGGACTTTAAACATCTTCATCTGCTCCCAACAGTTCAGTATGATGACCCAAGCAACAATTCCCTTTCTGAATCTGGGAGATGAGTTTGGTCGCATTCATCCCTTGCACAAACAATTCCTATGTTTTGTGGTAGGCAAGGACCACTGCCAGCATTGCATCCTACTCTTTGGCCTCTCCACCATCCCCCGCTGCCCCCCAAGGGTCTTTATCGAAGTTCTGTCAGCCACGGCAGCCTATCTTTGCCGTATTGGCATCATCATCTTTTCCTGCCTAGCTGACTGGCTCCTGAAAGGCCTCTCCCTTCTCAAAGCACAGAGTGCAACCAGGAAGACCGTCTCTGTTTCACTTGCTGGGTCTCCACCTCAACATGGAGACGTTTACCCTAACACCCACACAACATATAGACTTAATCTGGACCACTTTGGACTCCTTCCACCAGAGCATACTTGTCCAGGGACAGATTCACCCCTGTCTCCAACCTTGTTTCAATAATCCAACAGAGTCCACTAACCACTACGAGGATTTCCTAAACTTCTGGACCATGGGGAAGCCTGTATGTTCACAACTCCCATTTTCAGTGTCTTCAAGCATGGTTGAGAACCATCGACACCCCCTACAGACACAACCTATCCAAGTGGGCGTCCGTACCTCGGAAGGGTCTTGATTCTCTGAACTCATGGAAGGACCCACAAAAAGTGTGCATGGGAGTTCTGTTTCTACAGCATTCTTCAACGATCATCACCACAGATGACTCTGTCACATGTTGGGGCGTACACTCCCAAAACCTCACAGTTCAGGGCAAAAGGATCACCCTCCATATCAACATATTGGAGCTCAGAACAGTCAGTTACACTTGCCATCACTTCCTACTATACATCAAGGACAACAGCGCAGCAGTGTATTACATCAATCAGCATGGAGGAGCAAGATCCCAGTCCTTGTGCACCAAAGCCATAAAACTATGGTACTGGTGCCTATCACATTGCATACAGGTGTGAGCGCTTTTCTGCAGCCCAAATGCTCTTTAGAACCAAAATGCTCTTTAGCTCACAATCTCGATTACCTGCTGAATTTAAAAACCACAGACTTACTGCTGAGCTCCATCAAAGTTTACCTAGCTGCCCTCACAGCTTCTCACCTTCCCAGAGAAGGGTTCTCAGTCTTTGCCACACCCCACCACTGTAAGATTTATCAAAGGCCTATTCAACATCTTCCCACCTATCAAGGAACTAACTCTGCCATGAGACCTCACTTTACTTCTTGCCTTTTACCTCGACAGGACTAGGCCCTTTTCAGGTTTCCCCTGGACTCTTCATCTCTGTTGCAGAACAAATGGAGGGACATCCAATCTCCACCCAAAAACTGTCCATGCGATTTGCAGGTTGTGTTCTGTCATTCTATGAGTTTTCAGGGGTTCATCCTACACTCCAAAAGTTATTGCTTGTACCACCAGGGCTCAATCTACCTCTGTAGCCATTCTCAAAAATTGACCCATCTCAGGCATCTGCAAGGCCACCACCTGGTCTTTGCCGCACACATTTTACCAGCATTACACTCTTGTGCCCTATTCCAGGACTGATACAGCCTTTGGTGGTGCTGTCCTTTGAGCAGTACTGAATCCACTTCCTCGCACTGGGGCCTCACTTCGAGATGTTTCTCCCTGTGGGTGATCCACTACCTGCTCTCCTTCCCCTTGGCCTCAGAGTCTCTTTCTTGGGACTTTCGTGGTTGAGAAGGAACTGGAGTGGTGTCAGGTGTACCCCTCCTTATATACCCTCATATCTGGGCACAAGGGTCTCTGGGGTGCAAGCATGGAGCACCCCTAGGGAGACATCTCAAAGAATTCAGTTTACTATACCAGGTAAGTAACTCCTCCATCTTTTTGATAAAGAGCTCAGTCAGTTTAGTTTGTATCCCACTGTAAGGCATTTTTGTGGCTGAGGTGACTTGTTTGGCTGATGTAAGTTGCATTAATTTCCCTTTTGCCTTCCAGCCTGCTGTTGCTTTAACTGAAGCAGAACAAACCACATGCGTAAGTTATTGTAACCTCTATTGTAACCTTGAAATGTTTGTTTCAGTGATTAATCCTTGATTCCTTAAGTTGGTGTGGAGTAAAATGAAAAGCCCCACTGTGGTGATATGGCATAATTATGTACCTGACAGCCTGTCGAGCTACATTCCCTATGTGTTGCTGAGCACATCTCTCATCCCAGACACCCCCTTCTGAGGGATAAGAGTGTCAAGTTCTGAACTGAGACATTTGATGTTTGGGAAATGGTCTGATTTTTATGAGTGTCCTAACAAGTAGCATTGAGTCTGGTATTTCTAAACACACCATAAGAGTGTCCATGCTCTGTATGTCCTTCCCCTTGTCCTCCCACAGCCCTTTGGCTACACACTAATTGTAATTCATTTGTTCCTCCAAGATGACTGGTACTGCTTTGACTCCACGGCGCAGCCCCAGGGTAAGTGTCTATGTTCTCCTTTGGGTTCTGCTAGTATATTGGATATCAGGGGAAGGATGGTACCAGTGACTTAGGGCACTAGCCTCAGACTTGGCAGACCTTGAACTTTTACAGACCTGCTTTAACTTAAAGTAAATATGGGCTGAGCTACTTCCTTTAGACAGCCCTGAGACTGAAGTGTCCATTGGCCCCGCCAGTGAGGAGTGGGGGTGGCTGGGAGATCCACAGATTAGCTGTATTGGTGAGGGAGAAGAAGGGATAAACTCCATCTCCTTTCCTTGCAGATCTCCCAGAAGGCAGGAAAGGAGAACTTCCCAGTGGAAAGCAGCGAGGCCAAAGGATGTGGAAGCACTGATGCTAACCCAGTCTTAACATCATCTCTCCCTGCCAATGCCTCAGGCCTGGTGAAGAAGGCTGCCCTGTCTACAGTTAGCATCAATGTATGTGACTCTCCTCCCCAGGATGAGAGGGATGTTCTGATGTCTAAGAAAGTGCGCCGATCCTACAGCCGTCTGGATGCCTCACCCAGCTTGGACATGTCAACACCCACATTCGCCCATGGCCTGCAGAAGAAGTGCTCGCTCTTTGGCTTTGAGAAGTTCCTAGTGCCTGATGCACTGGCAGATGTGTCTCCAGTGGGTAAGGTTTCCCCTGCCCAGGAGACTCCAGTGGAGCCCAGTGCCTTGGGCTCCACTAAGGAATGGGACACAAACATTCCTGGCATCTCCTTTCCCAAAGAGAAACGGAAGAAAAGGAGGATCCCCCAGATAGATGTGAGTACTGCCAGCTTGGATGGGAGACCTCAAGGGAATGAGACTGGGAATTCTGGTATCACTCAAGTGCTCTAGTTGAGGGATGGGGAGATCTTTGGGGCAGGGACCCCTGCATTCTGTTAGCTACTCTGTATCAATCAGCTTGTGCTTGTTATAATTACAGTTTTTCTGGTTTTTTTTACTTCCTTTGCTCTAGAAATCTGAACTGGATGAATGGGCTGCTCAGATGAATGCAGAGTTTGAAGAAGCAGAGCAGTTTGATCTTCTTGTGGAATGAAGCCTCTCCCAGTAACCTGCATTATTCTTTTGTACATAGAGCTGACGTGTTGTTTTTTCACTCTAAAAATTAATAAAGTGGTTCTGTCTGTCTGTCTCTCTTTAGAAGTCTGCTCTATAGATTCTGGTATGTATTGCTTACTAGGGCTGTCAAGCAATTAAAAAAATTAATCGCTCTATTAAACAATAATAGAATACCCTGTATTTCACTATTTCTGGCTGTTTTCTACATTTTCAAATATATTGATTTCAGTTACAACACAATTCAAAGTGTATTGAAATTACTAGAGTAGAATTATGTACAAAAATAACTGCATTCAAAAATAAAACAGTGTAAAACTTTAGAGTCTACAAGTCCACTCAGTCCTTCAGCTAAGCAAAGACGATAATGCTGCTGGTTACGAAAATGTAGAAAAACATCTAAACATCTTTAATAAATTTTAGGGCTGGCAAGCAATTAATCACTAGTAATAGTGCAATTAATCGCACTGTTAACAATAGAATAAAATTTATTTTTGGATGTTTACTACATTTTCAAATTAATTTCAATTACAACACAGAATACAAAGTGTACAGTGTTCACTTTATATTTATTTTTATTACAAATATTTGCATTGTAAAAAACAAAAAAAATATATTTTTCAATTCCCCCCCTACACAATGTGAAATTTTGGAGCCTACAAGTCCACTCAGTGCTACTTCTTGGTCAGCCAGTCACTCAGACAAACAAGGTTGGTTACAGTTTGCAGGAGATAATGCTGCCTGCTTCTTGTTTACAATGTCACCTGAAAGTGAGAACAGGCGATTGCATGGCACTGTTGTAGCCAGTGTCGCAAGACAGTTATGTGTCAGATGCGCTAAAGATTTATCTGTCCCTTCATGCTTGAACCACCATTCCAGAGGACATGCATCTATGCTGATGATGGGTTCTGCTTGATAACGATCCAAAGCAGAGCGGACTGATGCATGTTCATTTTCATCATCTGAGTCAGATGCCACCAGCAGAAGGTTGATTTTCTTTTTTGGTGGTTTGAGTTCTGTAGTTTCCACATCAGAGTGATGCTCTTTTAAGACTTCTGAAAGCATTCTCCACACCTCGTCCCTCTCAGATTTTGGATGGCACTTCAGTTTCTTAAACCTTGGGTCGAGTGCTGTAGCTATTTTTAGAAATTTCACATTGGTACCTTCTTTACATTTTGTCAAATCTGCTGTGAAAGTGTTCTTAAAATGAACATGTGCTGGGTCATCATCCGAGACTGCTATAACATGAAATACATGGCAGAATGCGAGTAATGGGTAAAACAGAGCAGGAGACACACAATTCTGCCCCCGCCAAGGACTACAGTCACAAATTTAATTGACACTTTTTTTTTAACGAGCATCATCAGCATGGAAGCATGTACTCTGGCATGGTGGCTGCAGCATGAAGGGGCATACACACGTTTAGCATATCTGGCATGTAAAGACCTTGCAACACAGGCTACAAAAGTGCCATGCGAACGCCTGTTCTCAAGTTCAGGTGACATTGTAAACAAGAAGCAGGCAGCAGTATCTCCCATCAATGTAAACAAACTTGTTTCAGTGATTGGCTGAACAAGAAGTAGGACTGAATGGACTTGTAGGCTCTACAGTTTTACAGTGTTTTGTTTTTGAGTGCAGTTATGTAACTTGAAAAAAAATCTGCATTTGTAAGTAACACTTTCACCATAAAGAGATTGCACTTCAGTCCTTAGTATTTTTCAGTTCACCTCACACATTTCTTTTATCATTTTTACAGTGCAAATATTTGTAATCAAGAATAATAATATAAAGTGAGCACTGTGCACTTTATATTAGTGTTGTAATTGAAATCAATATTGAAAATGTAGAAAAAACACCCAAAAATATTTAATAAATTTCAATTGGGTTTTTTTGTTTTGTTTTTCACCTATTAATACTTGAGTACAGTCAGGGACTCAGTAAGGCAGCTGGAGATTAATGGTGGAGTGGCCTCCCTGGAGTTGGATAGAAGGGGGCAAGGGCTACCTGCTCATTGGAAAACATAATTCTCAATGAGAATCACTGTACTATGTGGAACTCTGTGCATCTTGCATATCTCAAGTAATTAATGTAACCTGTGTATTGTAACCTGCTGCTGTCAGAGGTGGGATGCAAGTCCTGCCTCTCTCCCCCTCCCCTGGCACTCCTTGCAGTACCGGTAGGGGCCCACTGTACCCCATTAAGGCAATTAATAGTGCAAACATTACGGCATTTGTATAAACACCCCTACTTCCCTCCCTCCCTCTGCCACGGCTTGGGCTTATTGGGAAAGGCAGGGCAGCTTTTTTATTTCAGCTCTTTGTGAGCCTTGGCGACGCCCCACTCCCAGAAAGCTGGTCTCCCCGGAACGCTGCTGCCGCGCACCCCCTTGCCCAGCGCCAGGCCGCCCAGCAGGGGGGGCCCCGCAGCTGCTGCCGCGCGCTGCAGCCTCCTCCGGGGCGGGGCCCTGGGGGGCGAATCAGCGACATCGGCCGCGGCGCCAGCCTCCGCCCCACCCGCCAGCCGAGGCGGGCCCAGCGCGCCCAGACCCGCCCGCGGCTCACTCGCCTCCTTTCTGCCGGAGGCTGCCCGCGCGCCCGGAGCCACGTCCGCGTTTGATCCCAGCTCCTGCCTCCCCATTGGCTACACCCAGGACCAGCAGGCGACTAGCCACGCCCTGTTTTAAGGCGCATGCGCGGAAGACGTAGTCGTGCCCGGAGACGCTTGTGCCAGTATTTTCCTCCCGCCGCCGAGGCGGTTGGTTCGGCTGCTTACGGGAAGCCACCAGGTGGCAGCAGAGAGGGGGCTGGGGCTGCTCTACGCCGCGGGAGCATTGCCCCGCCCCGCCCGGCCCGGCCCGGCACAGGGGCTGCTGTTACACGGGGCACCTTGCACAGGGAGCGTCTGGGGTGCAGAGAGGGGCCCGATCCTGTATGCGCCGCCACCAGCTCTGTCCACCCCTGAAATCTCAGCGTCCAGCTGCCCACCTGATCACGGGGGGGTGGCTGCAGGGAGCCTGGCTGATTCCCACCCCCCTTTGTCTTTCTCCAGCCGCGCAGGGAGCCTCACAGCCCCGCAGCTATTCCTGCCCAGCCTCCCTGCCATGCTGCTTTTTCACCCCGGGCTCAGTACAGCCACACGTGTGCACCCACCCTGAACACTGCCCCATGGAAAGCCCCGGGCAGCACGAGGCCCTGGTGCTATGGAAAGCTGGGGGACTGGATCCCTGCCATTGGTAGCAGCACGAGGCCTGTCGATCCCACTTGCCCCCAGCACAGGAGGGGAGGCCGGACTCCGCATCAGAGTGACAGGGGTGAAGCAGGCATCACTGACGCTTCAGCATACGGGTGAGGCTACGGCACAACATGCGTTGCAACGCCGGCACTCCCACACCCCCAGCTGAGATTTCCCTTGCCCAGCCCCTAGATCCCCACAGGGCCAGAAGCCACAGCCCACCTCCCCATGGGTGCAAAGCAGCACGATCACATCACCCAACAAAAACTTCCGGGGGGTTGGGGGGGAGATGGACTGATGGCATGAAAGTCCTTGCAGTGCAGAGGGGAATGGGGGGGCTATCAGTGGTGAGGAGTTTGGGGGGAGGCTGCTGCTGCTACCAACTCACTGTCACTGCCCCCCCCCCCCCGCAGCTATATTCCCCAACTGCTTGTTTAAGAGCTGATTAAATCCATGCCCCATCGATCCCTGCCCAGGAAGCCAATGGAGGCTGACTCTAACCTTGCTGTATCTTTGCTGGGGGCAGCGGGATCACATGATATCGATTGGGCGGGGCACTGAACGCTGCACTCTGGCAACGGAGGCGGAATCCATGTTTAGCTTGTGCCCGAAAAGTTTTGGGGAGGAATCCAGGCTGGTCCCCTCCTGGTGGAAATGGCAGCCGAGTCCTTGGGCCTAGTTCATCTACAGGTGGGAGAGAGACCAAGTGGGTTGCGGGGAGTGTGAGTGCAAGGGACTGGGGATCACAGGGGTATGTGTGCACAGAGTCCTTATTTATTCCAACACTCATCCCTGATCAGACTCATGAGATGCTTTGTTTGGGGCTGTAAACTCATCCCTCTAGCTCAATAAACCCACCCCAGCGCGGCTACCAGAGCGAGGGATCCCTGTTATAAACAGCCCCAGCTAGCGAGGAGCACGGATCGCTGAGCTGGGGGGCTGTAACTGATGCAGGAGGCGCAGCAGGCCTGGAGAAGGATCTGGCTAACAGGAGAAACAAGGTGTGTGGGGGAGGGGTTGTCACTCACCTCAGTGGGTCTGACTCAGTCCCACCCCCACACCAGGGCTGCTCTCCAAACTATGACTGTCTCCCTCATGATGTTATTTTCACCAGGGCCCTAGGGCAGGCCAGAGTGATCAGCGTATTAACCTCTGCACAGCACAAAGCAGAGACAGCCCCTCACGTCACACCATGCCAGCTGCCTTCCTGCCCTGGACTCTTATGCACCATTGCTGTGATTGTTCAAACAGTCCCTATGCCCCAGCCCAGATGTGGCTGCATCTTGGCACATGGGAGACGTCCCTTGCATAGTGTGCAGTCTACACCAATGCAGGAGGTTCCCCCCACCTCATGGAGTGGGCAGTGCCACCCTCAGTGCCCGTCTGTCACACTGCACACGCTAGTTCAGGGCTGTTGAGCCAAATAATTCCAGGATCTGGGAAAACTTTTTTCTTTGAAACGACCAACCAGCCAAGGCAATACCAGACCGCCCCTTGCATGAAGGCTGCAGAGTTAAAAGCTAGGGAATGGCCTCAGATAACATAACTCTGTCCTGAGAGCACATTTATTATTTGTATTCTGGTAGCTCCTAGGAGCTGAACGGAGCTCGGGGCCCCTATCATGCTGGACAGACCCACAGTCCCTGACCTGAAGAGCTCACAGCCTAAACAGACACAGGGTGGGAGGGGAAACTGAGGCAGCAAGTGATCAAATGACTTGCTCTAGTCATCACACAGCAGGTCAGTGGTAGAGGTGGGAACAGAACCCAGGTGTCCTGAGGCCCAGTTACTGTCTCCCCACTCTTTAAAACCGATTTCTCAGTTGCACTGTCCCTGCATTTGAGACAGGGAGAAGGTGGCTTTAGGGTCTTGCCTACACTTGACATGCTACAATGGCCGAGCCGTAGCGCTTTGGTGTAGACATTTGCTGCAGCGACAGGAGGGTCTCTCAGTTAATCTGCCTCCCAGAGAAGCAGTAGCTACGTCCATGTCTATGCCAGGGGGTGAGGTCAGCTTAACTGGGAGGGGATGGATTTGGTTTGAGTGTAGACAGGGCCTTAATCTTTGCCCTCCACAGCATGAACTGGAGCAGCCTTCCCATGGCCTGCAGTGGGATAGAGTAGCCAGGGCGCAGTGCACTCCCCTTACACCAGTTCTACACCCCTTGGGAAGGCCCCTCCCCCTTTGAGGGGGGGAATCCCCAGGAGCCCATCTACACCCCAGAGCAGTCGAACTTCAGGGTGGCATAACTGAGGATGAGGCCCATCATAGTTAGTTAGCTGATCACATGATCCACAGGACTTTCCAAGAGCATCTGTGGCGTCCGGGAGAAGAGGACTCCGGGTTTGCCTAGGAGTTAAAGGTGTGTGGTTACACAGAGTCACAGCATCCCTGCTGCAGGAGGGGTCATGGGAGGGAAGGATGGCTCAGGGGCTAGGGCACCTGTTTGGGCCTGGGGGTTAATTCCCTGCCCTGTCACAGACTACCTGGGTGACGTTGGGCAGGTCACTTGGCCTCTCTGGGCCCCCATTTCCCCACCCCTAATGTGGGGATAATGGCACTGGGGGGACTGGGCAGATACACAGATAAGAGATGTGTGAGGTGCTCAGCCAGTACCACGATGGGGAACCAGAGAACCTGGGAGCTTGACATCCCCACACCCCCAAATCCCACAGCTCTGCTACCCCCCAGCCCCCAGAATGCATCCAGCCCAGCAGCAGCGCTTTGCACCCTGGGATAGAACCCTGTGCTTCTAGGGGCGCCACCGGGGAAGCAGCAGGGGCTGACGCCTCGGGTTTAGTGATGTCACAATCATTATCCAGGGTACCAGACCCAAGGTTGGGGCCCCCCTTACACCTGGCACTGCCCAGACTCGCAGCAGCTCGCACACGACACTCCGCTCCAGATTCAGTCTGACAACAGAGCAACAGTGGAAACGCCAGTGCCTGCCAAGGCCCCATTCTGTGAATGTTTTTGCTTTAAAATGGACTGCCCAGTACCCTTGAATTTGCCCCATCTGCACACCAATACCTGACTCTTACACAGCACTTGCAGTCTGTAGCTCTCAAAGCCCTTTACCCCAGGAAGTCAGCCTCACTACCCTCATTTTACAGATGGGGAAACTGAGGCACTGAGCAGGGAAGTGGCTTCCTCAAGCTCACCCAGCAAGACAGTGGCAGAACTGGGATCAGAACCAGCTGTCCTGAATCCTCGCTCCAGTGCGCTATCCACTAGGCAGCACTGCCGCCTCCTCTTATTACTTGCGGAATAGTGGGTGAGTGGGTAATTAAGACACACAGGATTGTAACAGCAGGCCAGCATTAAGGGTGTGCGTGTCAGAGCTTTGCAACCCAATGGGACCTGACTGCCGGTGTCAGCCTCAGGGCAGGTATAAAAACAACCCGACCCTCACGGGCTCGGTAGCCTCGGATCCCCTCTTGCCCATGAGGGTTGGCGTGGTGGTGGCTGCATGCCCCACTCCTGCCAGCTGCTGCCACCATGCTGCGCTGTGTGCATCGCAAAGTGTGTGTGCCCAGCAGCGTCAGCGCAATGGGAGGCAGGCGTGGGCACACAGCTGCCCCCACGCCAACCCCAGGAGCAGGAGACTGGCAGAGACGGATCGTGGGCATGGGGAGCCCCCACCAGGCCGAGCCCCAAGAGCGAGGGGTAGCACTGGAACAGGGTCGGGAGCAGCGACCTGGGAGGAGGAGGGAACCAGCAGCCCTTCGGGTGGCCAGCACTGGGCCGGGATGCAGGATCAGGGCTGGGGGTTAGTTAGCCCTGGCGACTCTGCAGAGGAAACAAAGTAAAGCAAACGGAGTCCAGGCTGGCGGCTAGACCCTCGCACACGACCCAAACCCAACGGGACCAGCTAGTGTTGGCTTTGTGTCAGCCTGGGTATGAGAACTACCCAAAGTGCTCAGGATCAGGCTCTGGTCCTCTAGTCAGGCTCATGTCAGGCTTTAAAATTAGCCCTGAGCCAAGGTCTAAGATGAGTAGCAATGTGTGTCTGTAAAAAGAAAAGGAGTACTTGTGGCACCTTAGAGACTAACCAATTTATTTGAGCATGAGCTTTCGTGAGCTACAGCTCACTTCATCGGATGCATACCGTGGAAACTGCAGCAGACTTTATATACACACAGAGAATATGAAACAATACCTCCTCCCACCCCACTGTCCTGCTGGTAATAGCTTATCTAAAGTGATCATCAGGTTGGGCCATTTCCAGCACAAATCCAGGTTTTCTCACCCTCCACCCCCCCACACAAATTCACTCTCCTGCTGGTGATAGCCCATCCTTTGTGCTGGAAATGGCCCAACCTGATGATCACTTTAGATAAGCTATTACCAGCAGGACAGTGGGGTGGGAGGAGGTATTGTTTCATATTCTCTGTGTGTATATAAAGTCTGCTGCAGTTTCCACGGTATGCATCCAATGAAGTGAGCTGTAGCTCACGAAAGCTTATGCTCAAATAAATTGGTTAGTCTCTAAGGTGCCATAAGTACTCCTTTTCTTTTTGCGAATACAGACTAACACGGCTGTTACTCTGAAACCTGTCAATGTGTGTCTGTGTCTCCCCCTAGTGGATATTTATCTATAAACCTGCCACATGCACCAGCAACATGAACTCTGGCATCTCCTGCCGTCTGAGTGCTTATCGCAATGCAGCCTTAAACATGGGGAGTTTAAAGAGATCACTAATGACAGCACAAATTATCATCATCATTTCTTATCCATGTTCCAGTGGTGTCTAGAGTCCACAGCTGAGATCGGGGCTCTTGTTACCTATCAGCTGTGTGTTCTTGGGGAACCAGGGTGCAGTACCCATCCTGTCTGACTAACGAAAGACCTCCCCCCGGACCCCCAGCCTCTGCTTGAACCAAAACCGATCAGACGAAAGACTTACAAAAAGCAATGAAAAGGCAGTGGGAGACACACCTAAACCCCTCCGGACAAGGGTGACAGGATTAAGGAAACTCCCCTAGCCTCATTTGCATTGAGATGGGACAGGGAGGCTTCTCCATTAGCATACAGAATGGAGAACATAAATTCCAAGGCAAGAACCGCACTGAACTCTGGGACTAGAAAAGCAGGGAAGCACTGCATGATGGGGATCTCTACTCCAGATGTTAATGAACCCACACCTGCACACACCCAGCTCAGTAGTTATCAGACCAATTCTAGTAATAAATCCTTTATTGGTATCCAAAAGAGTGAAGCTGCCTAATTGCATTGTGAGCTCCCTAGAAGGAATGAGCACCTTCCATGGTCTAGCCTGAACAAAACAACTTTGGTGTACTCCCTTGAGCCATCACTTTACCCACAAACAAATCTAGTGTTCTCCCTTGGACTATTGTTCTTTCCCTACAAAAACCCTTACCCATGCTCAAGTAAGTGTTCTGATGCCCAGATCCAAAATCTGCATCAGTTCCCTTGGGACTTCATCTTTTCCTGACTGATCGTGCTGGGGGCTCTGCCTGTCTCCAGCACTCCGGACCCTCAGCTACCACCACCACCTGGGACCCCCGATCAAGCTTCACAGAGTGGTGAGAACCCAGCTCTCTCTCTTGGTACAGCCTTCTGACCCTGAACTGAGATCAGTTACAGTTTTCTAACCCTGACTTTTATAATCAAATTTAAGTTAGATTTACTATTGTCACTGTTTTGTTTGTTTGGCTTCCCTATGGTTATTAAAAATAACTTTCATGGTTAAGCTGGTTGCTTCTCTCTCTCTCCCCCTCATGGGTGTTTTTTGGCTTTCTCATTCATTCTGCAGCAACCCTCCTAGTACCTAAGCTAAAAGATCCCCGCAGTGCCCAAAAGTCCTGTGGTGTTTGCTCATCAAGTGGGTTACTACCAGAACAATCGTAACGTGAAAGTGGGGATAGGGTTGTGCTGAACCTGGGGCATATGAGGGTGGCTAGGAAGTGCTGCTCGACCCAGTCTGCTGAGTCCAGGGACATATAAGGGGTCAGCCTGGGAGTGCCGATTAACCCGGTCCTCTCAGACGCACACTGTTAATGTGTGTGTGTTCGTTTGATTCTGGGGCTGGGAGAACCCAGTCCTGGGGAACCTAGGTCCTGCAGGATAGCTCCACTGGGGGGGGAACTTACAGAAGTAGTGCTCCGTATGAGAACACAAGCGACACACATAGGCGCCAACTTTTCCAGGCGCACATGGGTGCTCACCCCCGGCCCCACCCCGACTCCACCCTGCCCCGCCCCATCCCAACCCCTTCCCCAAATCCCCGCCCCAGCCCCGCCTCCTCCCAGAGCGCGCTGCATTCCCCCTCCTCCCCCTCCCTCCCAGTGCTTGCCGCCGCAAAACAGCTGTTTCGCGGCGGTAAGCGCTGGGAGCTAGGGGGAGAAGTGGGATGTGGTGCACTCAGGGGAGGAGGCGCAGCAGAGGTGAGCTGGGACGGGGAGCACCCACAGAGTCGGCGCCTATGCCACAAGCAGTACATTGATAGAATTACAGAACCTCCCCTCCCAGAAGAGTAACCCTGATAAATGAGCGTACCCCAAAGTAATGGGCAAATCTGGTAAAACTCTATTGTGCTGGGCGCCACACAGATACCCCCTGCAAACAAGATATCCCCCCACCATGCCAGGCACTGCACAGACACACAGTCAGAGACAGTCCCTGCCCCAAAGATGTCACAGTTTAAATAGACACCAAAGCCCTATATGAGAAAGAAAGCACAGAGTCAAATAAAGTGAAAAATCTAAATGAATCAAACGGTACCATAGATTCTCTAGGGATAGAAATTCCACCCTTGAAGAAGAAGAGTACAGTAGTAGGAATATACCACCGACCACATGACCAGGATGGTGACAGTGACTGTGAAATACTGTACCCCAGATCAAAACAAGCGTAAGAGAACCAAGAAAATGCCACCTGGCTAAATAGCAAAGCAAGAGGCAGTTAGAGACAAAAAGGCATCCTTTAAGAATTGGAAGTCGAATCCTGGTGAGGAAAATAGAAAGGCACAAAAAACTCTGTCAAGTCAAGTGTAAAAGTATAACAAGAGCAAGCCAAGAGAGAGTTTGAAACACAACTAGCTAAAGACACAAAAACTAACAGGAAAAAACAATGAGGGGGGCCACCGGAGGATCTAAGTGCTAAAGGAGCACTCGAGGAAGACAAGGCTGTTGCAGAGAAGCTAAGTGAATTTGTTGCATTGGTCTTCACTGCAAAGCACGTGGGGGGCATCCCCACACCCAAGCCCTTTCTTTCAGGTGACAAATCTGAGGAACTCTCCTAGATTGAGGTGTCAGTAGAGGAGGCTTTGGAACAAACTGATAAACAGCAATTAAGTCACCAGGATCAGATGGTATCAGCCAAGTGT